TATTTTATTATTATATACTATCCTATATATATTTTTTTAATCCTATAATACCTATTCGCGCTCTTCCTCTTAATTTCTAATTTAGCGTCCTTTCTTTTTCCTTCCATTCTTTTCGGCGATTCGTTTTCCCCGGGTAATCGGACCTCCTCTTTTGGCGCGCTTCGTCTTTTCGGCTGGACATCGCGTATTTTCATTTGATCGGACCTTTTTCTTTTTATTCCATCCTCCACTTTCCCCCCTTTCGTCACCTCTTTTCGATTGTTCCTCCGTACGATTACGTTCAATCCGATTCTCTTGAATTTTTCTTCCGTGCAATTACTTTCAATCTCTCTTCGATTTTTCTTCTCCCCGTTTATGTTTGTTCTGATTTTCTCTTTTGACTATATCCTTCTCTTCGGTTTGTTCTCCCTCCCCGTCATCCGGTCCCCACGTCACCTTTCTTCCGTCGATTTAGCCTGGAATTTCTTTCTCCGCCGGTCATCTTGCCTCTCCTTCTCTCTTCCTTCGAACTCTCCCCTCTCTCGCTTTCGCGACCTCGTTCCGCGGAACTCCTATCCCCGGGACATTTGGGTTGCGCGCGCAAGGTCAGGCCGAGGAGGAATGCAGCGTGCGAGGTCGCACGGAGCCCTCTCTCTCACCCTCGGAGCATTCCTCCGGTATCGCCGTACGAGCTAACGGAGCTGCGCACCTCCAATGCGCATGCGCGCGACGGAGGAGAAGAGAGAAAAACGGAACGGGGAGAAAATCGTAAGAGAAGACCTTTTTAATAGAAAATTGCGACTTCAAGAAAGACACTAGAAAGTAAACTTGTTTTCATCCCCCGGGATTTGTTAGCTTCCCTCTCGTTTCCACTACCGGGACTTGTTGTCCTCTCTCTCGCTCCCACCCCCAGGGCTCGTTATCCTCCTTCTCGCTCTTTTTCTCGAGACTTGCTATCCTCCCTCTCGCTTTCATCCCCCGGGATTTGTTATCCTCCCTCTCGCTTTCACCTCCGGGACTCGCTATCCACCCTCTCGCTCCCACCCCCGGGACTCGCTATCCTCCCTCTCGCTTTCTCCCCCGAATTTCATTATCCACCCTCTCGCTTTCACCTCCGGGACTCGCTATCCTCCCTCTCGCTCTCTACCCTGGGACTCGCTATCCTCCCTCTCGCTTTCACCCCCCGGGATTTGTTATCCTCCCTCTCGCTCCCACCTCTGGGACTTATCCTTCCTCTCGCTCCCACCTCCCGGAACTCGCTATCCTCCCTCTCGCTCCTACCCCCAGGACTCGCTATCCGCCCTCTTGCTTTCTCCCCCGAATTTCGTTATCCACCCTCTCGCTTCCACCCCCGGGACCCACAATCCACCCTCTCGCTCCCCCCCCCCGGAACTCGCTATCCTTCCTCTCGCTCTTACTCCCTGGACTCGCTATCCGCCCTCTCGCTCCCACCGCCGGGGACTTATTATCCTCCCTTTCGCTCACACCCCCAAGACTTGCTATCCTCCCTCTCGCTCCCATCCCAGGGACTCGCGGTCCTCCCTCTCAGTCATCTGCGGGCCGTGCGAGCGCCAGGTGTTAGGTTCGCTGCGGTCGTGGGAGAAGCGGGAGACGCGTGGGAACTTCCGGATGGGCCTCGGGCCCCCTTCCGGCCCCGCCATTATCCCGCCGGCTCTATTATATTTATACGATATGTATGTATATATATTTTTATATACGCATATGTATATACATTTGAGCTGTTCCATAAATTCACGGATAAATGTTCTTTTGCCCTGCACTTTCTTTGGAGGTAATTGAATTGTTAAGGTGTCACGAGAGGGGCGTTCTGTCAATCTATTTGACATATCTATCATACGATATCTATATGCTATATATAATCTCTTATATACGTACATGTACGTACATTTAGGGCTTCCATAATCGCGGGTTATTATTAATATAATCCGATCGATTATATTCTATAATTCGATAATTCGGTGCACACAATTTGAAGTTATATAAATATTTTGACATTATATATAAATTTTTTTTTCAAGGTTTTATCGTACCATTTTTCTCAGACGAGAAATCGAATCGGCTAGGGTTTAACTTGTTAAGATAAATGATTTTATTGATTAGGAGCTATGGGTAAATATTTAAATTATGTACATGCATTTGTATATATATATATATTTTTTCTTCTTTTCGCGTGTATAATACGAAGGTGCCTCTCCGCCGCCATCTTGGAGTCGCGCCTCTTCCTTCTCTCTTTTCGACGCTTTCTCCACTCGGAGCTTCATACTCTCTCTTCCTCTCTCTCGTTTCTTCGCGGCCTCTCCCTCTCCCCCTCGTTGGTTTATTCGGTGTCCTCCGCGTTCATTCATTCGCACGGCCAGGCCATCCGTTCCTTCATTCATTCGCGTCGTGTTTGTAAAAGTCATTCATGCCCGGATCTGGGTCAGCTGCGCATGCGCGCCGCCCGAGTTTACGCTGTCTTTACGCGCGGCGTACGAAAGCTCGCGCGCGCGCAAAAAAAAAAAATGAATTCATAGTTCTAGAAAGAAGTGTCACAATGCAAGGAGAGTGAATGCTTGAAAATGGGCCAGAAACATTTTTCGGTAAAATGGCAACGAAGAAAGGAACAATTGCTTAAGGCGATATGAAAGTGT